TTGTGTTTCTAGGTTTGTCAGCACCATACCCGTGCTCGTGGGTTTCACCGAAGTGGTAAACGTCTGAGACCTGCATCACTTCAGGCTTTCATCCCACATTAAGCTGACACGCTGTGATATAACTGAAGTACTGTTAAAAGCAGCGTTAAATCCAACTCACTCACTCACTATCCCAAAGAGAATTCTGATCCTACCTGAATACAACCTTTTTCCGTTTAGAGCACCGCATACTGTGGCTGGGAGGGTTAACCTCACGATCTAAAAGTAACGAAAAATACATTTGTTAATGATAGATTACGGCATCATCTATTTGCAGTAAGGATAGGGTCGACTTGAAATAATGAAAGAAGTTGGAATCGCTAAGTTTATGCCGTCTTCATTTATAATATATTTTTCAGGCATGTTAAGTCTATATCGCTTTACCTCATTCATGAGTATCGCGTCATCACTACAAATGTATATTTTGAAACGTTGTGAGTTACCATTAACAACATGATACGCCGACAAAACGTTTAATGGACTTTGGCCCCTAAGCAAACGTCAGATTGCGTGTCACGTATGAGTGGTTCGTCCTTGCTTTTGCAAGTTCGTTTATATACTGAACCGCAAAAGAAACGTCACCCCAAGTAACATTGCATGTAAAGCTGTCATTAAATATCTGTGTAATTTTTGTCAAAGTTCCTAAAATTTAACATTACCTTGTCCGGAAAAATGAAATTTGGTGATAAAAAACCCAAAGCAGATGACAATAAAACCGAACGCATCACGGCAACGGCCATGGTAACCCGATGCACGTGAGTTCCGTGCAAATTGAAATTCACATGCGTTCCCCCATTTCTTGCCCTATTAAATCCACCCAGATCGGATAAGATTCATTCGTTATTGAACATGCCAAGATTGACAAGAAATCAGCGACACCAAGCCCTTGGACGATTGCAAGCTGGAAAAACCGCCCGGCAAGTAGCCAATGCATTTCAAGTCCACGTAAGGACCATATACAGGCTACAGCAACGGTACCAGACCACCAACACTACAGATGACTGGCCACGTAGTGGAAGACCAAGGGTCACCACCCGACGCCAGGATCGTCAGATTGTACGACAGCATCTTCAAGATCGCTTTGTTACTGCTGCGGAAACAGCGGTCGACAGACCACGGGGACACACCAGCGACACATTAGTGCGGACACCGTGCGTCGACGATTGACGAGCAGACACCTCCACTGTCACAGGCCACACCGAGGACCCATTCTTAGACCATGTGTTCGCCGAGAGAGAGAGAGAGAGAGCTGGCGTCGCCGTGGATAACGTTTTTCGGTTGCTTGTGTTGTTGAGAGAGACTCTTGGGGTGGTCCGAGCATCATGGTGTGGAGTGAGGTTGGTCTTGCACAGAAGGTTGACCCTGTGGGCATCGGTCCAGGGAGAGGCAATGGTGTCACAGCAGCTCGGTACATTGATCAAGTCTTGAGACCACACGCCATACCTCATTTGGCACGTCGCCGCAACCACGAGTTTCAGCATGAAAACGCCCGAGCCCACACTGCGAGAGCAACAAGAGACTTAACAACAGTCCCGATTTAAATCCCATTGAGCAACTGTGGGACGAGATTCAAAGACGGCTGAATGACGTCCGACCAAGGCCGACAACTGCAGCTGAACTGCATCAGGCGTTCCTCAGAGTGTGGGCTCGAGTGCCTATGGCCTTCATCAACCGCCTCATCCATTCCATGTATCGACGTTGCACTTCAGTCATCAATGCACATTGCGGACACACGAGATACTGACTTGTAATGCCATTTTCTCAGACTTGTGTTGTGTTTCACTTTAAGAACATTTGACACTTTAATTTCAACCTTTGTGATCAGTTTTGCCAAGTTTCATCTTTTGAATATGTCTCAAAGTATGTTTCCAGTGTTTGGACATATAAGGTTTCTCATATATCTATCCATGGTAACGTTTCTTTTGCATTTTAGTATAGTTGAGTTGGGAAGACATTTCTTAAATACTCCTCATGGATATCTTCATTTCAGTAGAAAATCTTTTTGTTAGATCTGAAAGTATACTGAACAACAAAAGTTCCTGTGACATTGAATAAGATTTGATGCAAAGTTGTTTTTTACCAAATCTGAAACAATTTCGGTTTGCAACAGATAAAAGACTCCTGTAAGTGTTCAAATGGTTTAATTTGCCATACTGACTTCAGAAAATGCGTGATTTCATAAAAAAAAAATATGAACATGCCAAAGTGTCAATTTACAAATCAATAGCGTGTGTGTCCACCTCTGGTTGCGATGCGAGCGACACATCTTCGTCTCATGGAATGGACCAGGCGTCGCACAAAGTCCTGTGGGATATCTGTCCATACCTGCTGGAGCATGTTTCAAAGTTCTGGAGTGTATGTATCTCATCCCACATGTGCTCGATTGGTGAGAGATCAGGGGAGCGAGCCGGCCAGAGGATGACATTCACGTTGTTTTGTTGAAGAGAACCCTGAACAAGTCGAGCAATATGAGGCTGGGCGTTGTCGTGTTGAAAGGTAATGCCTTGGCCATGACGACACAAATACGGTAGAACAACAGGGCCGATGATCTCGTCGCGGTAGCGCTGTCCATTGAGATTTCCCTCTACCACTATCAAACGGGTCCTCTGTCTTGCTGTAATCCCACCCCATACCATAACGCTGCCGCCCCCGAACCGATCTTCTTCCATGACACAATGATTGACGTAACGTTCACCTCGACGTCGGTACACTCGAATCCGTCCATCGCTGAGGCTGAGGTGAAAACTCGTCAGTGAATAGAACTTGTCCCCACCACATGGCCGTCCAGCGTAGACGCTGTCTGCACCACTGTAGACGTGCTTGACGGTGGTTTCCTGTCACAATGGGACGTCTGGCGGGTCTTCTGGCGACAATCCCTGCACACCTGAGGCGACGACGTACGGTTTGTAAAGATATTCGTCGAAGGCTGGAATCTATTTCGTAGGTGTGTTGTTCGCATCCAGTTGTCTTGTCGATTATTGGTTACGTGTGGCCTGCCACTTCGAGGATGGTCTCTGACTGCATTCGTCTGTTGCCAACGTTGCCATAAACACCAAATGGTGTTTCTGTAGACGTTAAATTGTCTTGCAACATCACGTTGACTCGATCCTGCTTCAAGGATACCAATGGCTCGCAGACGCTCATTTTCGGAAAGGCGTGGCATTTTGTAATGTTGAATAATTGCGTAATTTTGTTTTTTTTCTTAGTTGTTGTTGTCAGCACGATGCTCAACAATGAAATGGAATCCCGTAAACGCACATGTTTTTATATCCATTCTTGGGTAGTGAAATGCATGGGGCTTGCATAAAAGTCAACTTTTGCATGGAATGCATGCTTTTCTTTAGCAGTCGCGTTTTTGTGACTTGATTCCATACATGTACTACAATATTGAAAACCAAACTTTACTTGTTTGAAAAATACACTAAAATATGGGTGTCACAGGAACTTTTGTTGTTGAGTATATTTAAACACATGTATGAAACTACATACAGTGAGCAACAGCTACTCCGAAATGTGTCGCTCTCCGTGAGATGTCCGAAATACCAAATTTCCGGGATATTGATTAAACTAACGGGTTCATTAAACGTTATCTTTCATTAAAATCTTATTATTTCATAATGTGATGTCGGCATTACTAAGTCGTGATGAAAATGTCATTAACTAATGATATTTTAAGTGTAAAAGGCTGCCTCCCTAGTTTACTGGATAGAGCGCCTGCACGGAGAGAGAAAGGGCGGAGGTCCGATCGCCGGTCTTGTCTTACCAAAGGACTTTTTAAATGGTACGTGTTGTTTCCCTGCCTAAAACAAGGACTGGTCGGATCGGAGTCAGTATACTGTGTGAGTTGGGTATTCATGTTAAACTATGGCGTGGTATCTCAGTGGGCGTGTACGGTAAAACCGACATAAGCTCGGACCAGTACATGCATTACAGACATAAAACACGTGTGCATGCACGTCGGTATAGAAGTGCACTTATGTTGAACTCGACGTTAAAACCCTTTTCACAACACCTAACCAACCCGCGATACTCTGGAATACTCAAATATGCCTTCTTTCGAACGTTGACAAACTCAGTCTCACGATCGAAAGAGTCTTCACACTCTTTGTTCCCTCTCTGTGCTACAGTCGTGTTGTGTGGTTGTACTGAAGTGTTCCCTCTCTACACTACAGTCGTGTTCCCTCTCTACCCTACAGCCGTGTAGCCTTGTACTGAAGCGTTCCTTCTCTACATTACAGTCGTGTACCCATGTACTGAAGTGTTCGCTCTCTGTGCTACAGTCGTGTTGTGTGGTTGTACTGAAGTGTTCACTCTCTACACTACAGTCGTGTTCCCTCTCTACCCTACAGCCGTGTAGCCTTGTACTGAAGCGTTCCTTCTCTACATTACAGTCGTGTACCCATGTACTGAAGTGTTCGCTCTCTGTGCTACAGTCGTGTTGTGTGGTTGTACTGAAGTGTTCACTCTCTACACTACAGTCGTGTACCCTCTCTACCCTACAGCCGTGTAGCCTTGTACTGAAGCGTTCCTTCTCTACATTACAGTCGTGTACCCATGTACTGAAGTGTTCCCTCTCTGTGCTACAGTCGTGTTCTGTGGTTGTACTGAAGTGTTCACTCTCTACACTACAGTCTTGTTCCCTCTCTGCACTACCGTCGTGTTCCTCTCTGCACTACAGTCTTGTTCCCTCTCTGCACTACAGTCGTGTACCCTTGTACTGAAGTGTTCCCTCTCTACACTACAGTCTTGTTCCCTCTCTGCACTACCGTCGTGTTCCTCTCTGCACTACAGTCGTGTTCCCTCTCTGCACTACCGTCGTGTTCCCTTGTACTGAAGTGTTCACTCTCAGCACTACAGTCTTGTTCCTTCTCTGCACTACCGTCGTGTTCCCCTCTCTGCACTACAGTCTTGTTCCCTCTCTGCACTACAGTCGTGTACCCTTGTACTGAAGTGTTCCCTCTCTACACTACAGTCTTGTTCCCTCTCTGCACTACCGTCGTGTTCCTCTCTGCACTACAGTCGTGTTCCCTCTCTGCACTACCGTCGTGTTCCCTTGTACTGAAGTGTTCACTCTCAGCACTACAGTCTTGTTCCTTCTCTGCACTACCGTCGTGTTCCCCTCTCTGCACTACAGTCGTGTACCCTTGTACTGAAGTGTTCCCTCTCTGCACTACAGTCTTGTTCCCTCTCTGCACTACCGTCGTGTTCCTCTCTGCACTACAGTCTTGTTCCCTCTCTGCACTACCGTCGTGTTCCCTTGTAATGAAGTGTTCGTTCTCTGCACTACAGTCTTGTTCCTTCTCTGCACTACCGTCGTGTTCCCTCTCTGCACTACCGTCGTGTTCCCTTGTACTGAAGTGTTCACTCTCTGCACTACAGTCTTGTTCCTTCTCTGCACTACCGTCGTGTTCCCTCGCTGCACTACAGTCGTGTACCCTTGTACTGAAGTGTTCCCTCTCTGCACTACAGTCGTGTTCCCTCGTACTGAAGTGTTCCCTCTCTGCACTACAGTCGTGTTCCCTCTCTGCACTACAGTCGTGTACCCTTGTACTGAAGTGTTCACTCTCTGCACTACAGTCGTGTTCCCTCGTACTGAAGTGTTCCCTCTCTGCACTACAGTCTTGTTCCCTCTCTGCACTACCGTCGTGTACCCTTGTACTGAAGTGTTCACTCTCTGCACTACAGTCTTGTTCCTTCTCTGCACTACCGTCGTGTTCCCTCTCTGCACTACCGTCGTGTTCCCTTGTACTGAAGTGTTCACTCTCAGCACTACAGTCTTGTTCCTTCTCTGCACTACCGTCGTGTTCCCTCGCTGCACTACAGTCGTGTACCCTTGTACTGAAGTGTTCCCTCTCTGCAGTAGAGTCGTGTACCCTTGTACTGAAGTGTTCCCTCTCTGCACTACAGTCGTGTTCCCTCGTACTGAAGTGTTCCCTCTCTGCACTACAGTCGTGTACCCTTGTACTGAAGTGTTTTCTCTCTACACTACCGTCGTGTTCCCTTGTACTGTAGTGTTCCCTCCGTGCTACAGTTGTGTTCTCTGTAAGTACTCAAGTGTTCCCTCTTGAGTGTTCCCCCTCGTGTTTCCTTGTTCTGTACTACAATACGCTGGATACCTCTCCGGTATGGGGAATGAAACCCGGGTCTTCAACTTGACGAGGAAAGGTTATTACATGTAGGCCATCACCCTAACATAAAAGGAAAGTAACAAGAACGCACAGAAGGGCCAACCTACCTTTCAACTTGAACCTTGCCTTTTTTGTTTGCATCACAATCGTTACTAATATCAATACATTGCGTTGCTGCTGTAGCCCAATTGGACATGATGTGGAGCAACAGTGTCTATTTATCTGCCTGAGGTTGTAGCACGAAGACATGTGGCTAACAGATGAATTCACTGTCCTAATAGCTATTCGTCAGCAGTTTTATCTAACACTTCTGTTTCTTCAAGAAGTGTGTACATTGTACACATGTAACAGTTATACATACATTTAGGATTAATACGTCCCATTTTAATTCTGGAAACCCAATAGTCCAGAAACTCTACGGTCTTTGCCCAGTCTCGGACAAAGGTATTTACAAAATTAAACATGCTGTTTTCATGGAAACATCCAAGGAAGAAAAAATGAAAACCAAATTGTTCAAAAACTCAATATTTACATTATGTCGCCCATGGGCCTGCCCATGTGCGAAGATTGGCCCATGGGTAGGCCCATGGGCGAGAATATGTTCCTTTACTTAAAACTCATGTTTTTGTTTCGCAAATACATAAAATTTATTATACTTCTTTCAAGTATCATGTCACAGTGTTGAAGGAGTTTGAATTACGTCCGCCACTGGCCACAGAAATACTCATTTTAACTTAATTCAACGATTTTATAGCGATATTGAAATAGTTCGCCCATGGGCGAGAAAAAGGTTTGGCCCGTGGTCGAGAATATGTTCCTTTACTCAAAACTCGTGTTTTTGTTTCGCAAATACATAAAATTTAATATACTTCTTTCAAGTATCATGTCACAAAATGTAACTCATTTTAATTTAATTCAACGATTTTATAGCGATATTGAAATAGTTCGCCCATGGGCGAGAAAAAGGTTTGGCCCGTGGTCGAGAATATGTTCCTTTACTCAAAACTCATGTTTTTGTTTCGCAAATACATAAAATTTAATATACTTCTTTCAAGTATCATGTCACAAAATGTAACTCATTTTAATTTAATTCAACGATTTTATAGCGATATTGAAATATTTCGCCCATGGGCGAGAAAAAGGTTTGGCCGAATATTTTCCTTTACTCAAAAGTCATGTTTTTGTTTCGCAAATATATATATGTATATCTTTCAAGAATCATGACACAGTGTGGAAGGAGTTTGAATTACGTCCGCCACTGGCCACAGAAATACTCATTTCAACTTAATTCAACGATTTTATAGCGATATTGAAATATTTCGCCCATGGGCGAGAAAAAGGTTTGGCCCATGGGCGAGAATATGTTCCTTTACTCAAAACTCATGTGTTTGTTTCGCAAATACATAAATATATTTCTTTCAAGTATCATGACACAAAATTTAACTCATTTTAACTAAGTGTCTTAATTCAACGATTTTATAGCGATATTGAAATATTTCGCCCATGGGCGAGAAAAAGGTTTGGTCCATGGGCGAGAATATTTCCCTTTGCTCAACAGTTTTAGTTTCGCAAATACATTAAGGGATTATAAGCATGACACATGATTCAACTCATTTTAACTTAATTCAACTTATTTTTGGCGTTACTAAAATATTTCGCCCATGTTTTCGTCATTCCATTTAAAGAATTAACTAATTCTGTACAAAGTATATTGTATCATGTGAAATATACTTTATATTATATAATGACATTACTATTTAAAAAGGGCCTTTGGTTGGATGTTTCCTTTGCAGAAGTTTAACAAATTTCACCTGTTTTACATATTGCAACGATCTTTAATGAACTCGGCCTTACCTCTCAAAACGTTTTGACAGTTTATCATACGAATTCATGCGCGTGTACACCAATTCCCTGTCGTTATTTTCCAACGAATTAAAGTTTAGTTTGTTTCTTTTACATTTCCCATTTTATGTCTCGTTGGTACATCACACTGGGAAAATAAGTGACACTAGATATGCAATATACAGGTACACGTGCGCGTATTTTAATGGAAAAACCCCGATTCGTCTTTCATTGCATAATCGTTGATATGTGGATATATTAAGCACAAAGACAAAAAATGTTAATGAAAGATGAATTAGTGCCTTGATATATTCAACGATATGTGTATCATCGTTTAATGGGTCATTCAATAAAAGTATGTTTGGAGGAGATATCAAAGGAGCCGCCCAATATACACAGTGTCGTCCGGTGAACTACCACCCCACTCTGTCCGTAAGAGTTATGTAATCGGTACACAAATATATTTGATGCGGTGTCAGTGTGGAAGTAGTTTGAATTACGTCCGCCACTAGCCACAGAAATCCTCAAAGTATAGTAACAATCAACAAGGTCAATGAGGTACTAATTACCTAGTGACGCACGTAACAACGACTGTCAATCTGTCTGCTACAGCTACCATACCATCATCCCTAGGCCTGTCACAACTGGCATATTAACGGCTTATTCAAAATATTAATTGTAGAAACGTCGTTAAGAGACTAACGTATGTCGTATACAGTCCTCATATTTGATATACAAAAAGTAAGTACGTCAACTGGGAATTCAACTGGATGTTACCTTCCTTATATCAGCTAACAGCCCTGTTTGTGAAAATATGTACTAGACATAAGATTTAAAGACTAATAAAATCAATTGTAAGACCGCATAGACCATAAAACCGAATTAAATATGTCTTGGTATCATCTCTTGTGTGTTAGATGATGGTAATGACCTGAAATGTTTTAACGTTAGATTAGGAAGGAGAAACATTAAAGTGTTTTATAATACTTTGGAACATGAGCAATAAAATGTAGCAACATAAACATGCATGGAATAGAGAAAATGGTGAAAACAAATTGAAAAGGATTTTAATACAAAATTATTGAACTCAATAACTTGCCTGAACACAAGGGGTACCCAAACTTGTTTGACAGTTATTCGAGTGTTGCCGAATGGGACTCGTGTGTGTGCGTAGGGTACAAATATCTATTGCAAGTTTTAGTACTCATACACTTTCTCTTTTTGTGTTGATGTGATTTCTATTTTCGTACATGTAGTAACATAAACATGCATGGAATGGAATAGGGAAAATGATGAAAACAAATTGAAATAGATTTTAATAAAACATTATTGTACTAAATAACTTGCAAAAGCGGTGCCCAAAATTGTTTGACCGTGTTATGTGTGTTGTAGACTGGCGACTAGCAAGTAATTGTCATGTTGTACACATGGTTCCATATACAAATTCAGATATACGACCGGTATAAAACTGAGAACTGATATGCCAAGTATCACCTGCATTCACACACGGAAGCAACATACTTGTGTGTATGCCCTCTACTCTGAAAAATGTATCACTAAAGTATTTGCATTGTAATAAATATAGTAATAATAAAACTTGGTAAATTTGGTAGGTCTCCGACAGAAAGGATTTTCAGTTATTTTACACCTTTGATTGATACGGATTACGTACATGTAGTCTAGTCACTGTCTCTAATGTATCTGCTTGTTAAAAATTTCAAATGTCCTGTTATAGCATTGTTCCTAAAATAAGGCAGTTTCTTTTATCGGGTATAAATAGTTGATTCGTCTTGTCACGCAGTCATTTTTACTTGATCGAATGGTTTCCACGAAAACTTCCGGCAGAGAGTTTTGTATTTTATTATATACATGTATTGTTAATTGTAGAAGATGCTTACATCACTGTATCTCAGAACGCAAAACTGATAACATTCAAACATGTAATTAGTACACAGTTAATTGTTACAGAAGAAGAAGAAGAAAATATTTTGTTAAGGTGTCGCATGATATACATACATAAGGACAAACAGTTAAAAACAATTATTGCATATCATCCGGCCGATACGGCCTATGGGACACCAAATATCTCATAAGTACAATTGTTAGGCATTGCCTAAAAGTCGGGCCGGGCCGGGCCAAGACGGCCCAAAGCGTAATTGGCTAATTACTTCATTATCGGCGATCATTCCTACATATTATTGATGCAACATACACACATGACATTACTGAACAATCACCAACCAAAAACGTGCAACATAATTAGGTATTTCGGAGTAAATCGCTTGAAAACCAGAATGTGGAGCTGTGTGTAAGCGTCGCTGATCTAGGTAACATCGTTAAGCAATCGTTAAACGAAATAAGATTTGAAACGTATCAAATACTTCTAGCTATCGCGATACAAATTTCCATCTGTCTGCATAGCGTTTATATTTATAGGATAGTACTATATCTATGTAAATACCAATTAATAATGTCACTGTTCATCGTGATAAAGCAGACACGTTGGTTAAAGTAGACCTCTTCTCCCCATACTCTCAACAGTCTCACAAGTGTTCGGTCCGACTTGGCCCGGGCTGTCAAAATCAACTTAAACCTCACAGATGTAACATGAAATGGATTCACACCTATAGATTAGTATTATATCTACCTAAATAAATCTTTATAGAGTCTCAGATCGCGGTTTTTAAAGAAAACAAGGTGCTCAAAGTGAAGCCCTTTTCCCTCTACATTCTCAACATAGTCTATCAGAAGTGTTTGGCTTGTGGTGGGTCCGACTTGGCCCGGGCTGTCAAAATCAACTTTAAACACATAGATGTATCATCAAATGTATTTACATCTATAGATCAGTGTTATATCTACCTATACACCACTTTATAATGCCATATTGTACCGCATTTAAAGAAAACTGAACCGTTAAAGTCAAACACTTTTACTGTATTTTCTTAAGAAAATCTCTGTCAGAAATGTTTGGTCCGACTTGGCCCGAACTATCAAAATCAACTTAAACCTCACAGATGTAACATGAAATGGGTTAACTTCTATCGATTCGTATTTTATCTACCTATATACCACTTTATAGTGTCTCAGATTGCGGTATTTAAAGAAAACAAGGTGCTCAAAGTGAAGTCCTTTTCCCTCTACATTCTCAACATAGTCTCTTATCAGAAGTGTTTGGCTTGTGTTGGGTCCGACTCGGCCCGGGCTGTCAAAATCAACTTTAAACACACAGATGTATAATCAAATGTGTTTACATCTGTAGCTTAGTATTTTATCTACTTATATACCACTTTATAATGTCA